CATCCCATGGCACACGACTATGCACATCGCCTTAACAGTATTCAGATGAAACACACCGTATTTTATTTCAAATGGCACTTAATATTTCAGTTCGGCACTTTTGAAAAATAATAATATTTCAATTCATTTTTGTAAAATCCTTTGCGTGTACTTCTTTTTGTCAACTAAAGTTTTCTAATTTCTTTAGTGTATACCTACTTTGCATTGGACTTTTGTTTTAGGAATGTGTTTGTAATTTTATTGAACTGAAAAGAAGGATAGCTTTTTTGGCACTTTTATTTTTATATTTGGCACATTTTGGCACTGTTTTATCCTCAATATGGCACTTCATAGCTAAGTACAGTTGGCAACCCTGATCGTACTAACTGAAATTGTTTCGCCTGCGCGATAGTAGAAGTACCTATGTATGAACACTTTCAAGAAGCATGCATATAAATTATGCGTGGCTTTTATTGTATCTCTGTATTTCCGTAACTCCCTGTGTGAGGATCAGTGTTGCCATTTTAGCCGTTTTCCGGCTAGATTTAGCCGGTTGCGATAGCAAACAGCCGGAGAAATTTCGATCTAGCCGGCAGCCAATTTGTTAGCCGTTTTGCAGAAAAAAATTAGCCGTTTTTAGCCGATTTTGCTACTTGCCTTGTTTTCTTAAATTTCAAATATGTATGTATGTTTCCATTTTTGACTAAGCGACCCAAAATCTGTTAGAAATGGCTACTAGCCTTATCGTGGAGAAAATTTTCATGTCAGGCAGGGTTGTATGAAATTGGGCCGATTTCGCTTATTTTTATTTTAAACGAAGAAGGGATTTTCTTCATAAAATGTTTGTTATAAATGTCTTAATTTTAAGTGTGAAGTTTTATTCGCAAACTTAGAAAATAAGAAATTGTTTCACTGTTAAGACACTTAAGATGCGTTTGTGTTTGGATATAATGCCAACCAACAGAATAAATATTACATGTAGATATTGTCTTCCCAGATAGCGCATATTCAATTCTGCCTAAATTACAAAACATCATTTTTGCCCACTCCCAAAGGTTTAAGGTAAGGGAAAAATTGATATTTTCAAGCACTATGTACACATATGTAATTTTTTAAACAAACTTTTTTGCTGAGAACTTATTTAAATTCCAAAAACCGAATGCCAACTGAATTAAAGGAACCAACACTGAAGTGAGTCAAAATGAAAATAAAAGAGCACACATTTTTATGTAAAGCAAAACTCTCTCTGAATCCTACGAGACATCTTGCCGGTCATATGACCGGTCATCCAAATGGGAGATCTGCAGTTTTTTGGCATCATACTTTACATCAGAATTGAAGGGATTTCTGAAAAATCTGCCCAGTTTTTTTGTGTAACTGTGATTTTGCATCCCTTGTCAACATATGGCCTCGGTTGATGTTAACTTAAGGTCGTTGTTTTACTGCCTTAAAATTGAAGGCAAATTTTTACAGCGTTTTTTATGTGTATTGGTTTCTATTTGAGTGTATTGAGAATCGGTCAGTCTGAAAAGGCCTTGTAGGGAAGACAATAGGTTTGTTCGTCGAAAATCTAGCGGGAATTATCACTCAAAATATCAGATAGTAAGAAAAAATGCTCCCGAATTCTCTCTCATGTAGAGATACTTGCAATTTTCTGTACGAACGCAAATTTTCAAGTTTTTCTGCCAGCTAGTGTCCACGGTTGCATTTCAAACAAAAGAAATTTGTATAGAATTTTTAAAATTCTTTCAGAGGGGCAAAAAACAGGATCTACGTGTATATATCTTGCCAGTCCGACTTTCTTCAACATACAATTCAATTTCTTAGTCGGGTTTAGTATATCGACTCTGGTTGAGATTGCATTCCGATTAAGATAACAGTTTTTTTGCCGAGTACCTTTCAAATCATTGGAATTAACTGAATTAATTAAGTAAACAAGTATTAACTTACATTTTTCATTTTAAAATCGCTCCAGTTTGTGAATTTTTAAATTTAACGAACTTGTTTATTCAAATTATCATCGACAAAAAATCCAACCACGTACCACAATCATATGTTTTTCCTAATTGCAAAATCTTGCTGGAAAATTTTTTTCCGGCTCGAATTTGTAACTTCTCGCCAAGAAATAGTCTTTTTACTCGTTATTTATTTAAATAAAACATGTGAAATTTAGTTGAAACATTTTAGCCGGTTTTATTTGCCAATTTAGCCAGTTCGTCCAAAACGTTCTGGCAACACTGGTCTAATCTGCTTGCCTCATTTGCTTCGCTCATTTACTCGCCTGTCTCGTCTGCTACAACAAATGAGTGCCTCGCTAGCGTCGACGCCCTCGCGAAGGCAGAGCTAATGAAGTCCTCGTTTGCTTGCCGCTGGCTTCTCGGCNGTTTGTCTTCGTGCAAGTATTCTGCGTCTACTGTGTAGATTTGGCTGCCTATAGCTGCCTAACCGTGTCCTATTTAATTTTAAAGGTACCGCATCTCCTTCAGAAAATGAGACCTATGTCACTCGCAAAGATGTTTTTTTGTTCATACGAGACAAAAACGTGTTAAAAGCACATACAGCAACTGCACATAAAGAACTGTTATCAAACTGTATTACAAAAGCTAGAAATATTGGAATTGACAAGTGAAGATCAAAATAAATTTGAGCAACATATACAAAACGTAGTAACTCAAATTCGAAAGAGATGGAAAAAAAAGTTCACGTACTCTAGACTTTTTTAAAAAAGCAATCGCTGTGGCTCTCGAAATAAATAGAATTACGAACTGCTAGAGAAGTAGGCCAAGTAGGGCGACTGAAAAAAGTTTTTGACGAATGTTCAACAAAGGTAAAAGGAGAAAAGTGGCGGATTTGCTGAATCGTTCCGCAGAAGAACTCAAATAAAATTACATAGCGAAGGAGAGCGTGTTAAGGCTAGTGTAATTAAAAAGGCAATAAATAGCTCACCTAAATCTATAAATGCAATGAATCAAACATCCATTTCTTTTGGTTCATACACGCCGTATTCTGCGGTAGAGGCTTTAGCATTAATTAGCGATTTGGGGTTAACTAAGCACGAAGTACAAAATTCTTCAACAAAGTGCAAAAAACAAGAACACTAATTTATATCCAAGCTGCGAAAGCATTTTAAACGAAAAAAACAATCCTCCTGATTCATCTCTTTGTATTACTGAAAGTTCATCTGTAATACATTTACAGTCTTTGCTTGATTATAGAATTAATCGTTTCTCAAAAGCAGAACCTGATGTATTTCAAAGCCTGAGTGAAGGAGAAAATAGTTTGTTGTGTTATTGGAAATGGGGATGTGATGGGAGTGGAGGACACTCACTATATAAGCAAGCCTTTTTGGAGAATGATGGTGCAAGTGACTCAAATATCTTAATGACGTAAATCGTACCACTGGAAATAAAGAGACAAACAGATCAAAATAACATTTCCATATGGAAAAATTACAGAGCTTCAGCAACTCGATATTGCCATATTGGAATACACGAACTACAACATACAACTTTTTCCACTGGTAACAAAAATATATCTGTAAAGCATCTTCTGATGAAAACTATGGTTGAATTAGGTTTTTCTGTTCTTCACGCCCAAATACAATTTTTGAAACTTGTCTACACGTATCATATGAGCTTAATATAAGATGTTGGCAGCAAGAGGTGATGCGGCAAAAATAGACGTAAATGAAAGAAAAATTATATTACAAAATAAATTTAGGTCCGAAATAGGTTTACTCGTTGACATCCCGAAGCAAGGAGGTGGAAACACAAATGACGGAAACACAGCCAGAAATTTTTTTAAGAACCCGGAAAAATCAACAGAGATCACTGGCATAGAGCTTGAACTCATAGAACGGTTTTCAACTATTTTGAAAACTTTATCGTGTGGTCTCACTATAAACGTGGACCGATTTAAGGATTATTGTTTAAATACTGCGAAATTTTATGTTGAAAAATACTCTTGGTATCCCATGCCTGTAAGCGTTAATAAAGTTTTAATACATGGAGCTGATGTTATCAATCACTTCCCTTTGCCTATTGGTGAACTAACCGAAGACGTGCAAGAAAGTCGTTAAAAGGATTTTAAAAAATTTCGCGAAGCATATTCAAGAAAAATGTCAAGGATTCACTCAGTTACTGACATATTGAATAAGTTGTTGATAACATCTGATCCAGTTATATCAAAGATGCGAATATGTTCAAAAAAAATGTCTTAACCCTCTGCCTCCAAAAGTTTTAGGACTTTTGGATTCTGAAATCTAGTGTCAGTGCTAACGATTTTTTGCTATACATATGTATATATATATATATATTATGAGTTATTCTATAACACACGAAATAAAGATGCATTACTTAATTTGAACCTTTATTTTCAATTGCGTTCTCTCCGATTTTCCAGAGTATTTTACGAATTAACTAATGGAATTCATATTGGAACTTATATTTATTGAAAATGTCTTAAAGCCAAAAGCAAAATCCTACTCAAATGAGAAATAAACGCAATAGGCTGTAACTACATTTATTGAAAAAAAATACACTTTATTACCTTATAAAAGCAGCTATAACTTAAAAACTAATAAATCTACAAGAAAAATGAGTACATTTTTGAAATGAGTGGCTCAAATTTGTTAAGCATAAGTGTTATTTGGTACTTTTAAAAGAAGTTATTAATTTAGTTCTCCTAAATGCCGAAAATCGACCACTGTGCGCCGGCAGCTTTAACAATTTTATAGTGGTTTTACGTTATTTGGCAAATTACACTCTGTTAGCCATACATTTTACTATGTTTTGACCGCTTTTGTATCAAGACCCCTGGACCATATAAGGAATTCATTTATATTTTAAATTGTATTGTCATCGTGATTGGAACTATGCTGAAAATTCCAAGTCTCTACCTCGTCGGGAAGTTAGTTTAAAATCGATTGGAAATTTCCGCGGGATGACCAAGTTAAATAAAAGCTTGTAAAAATGAATTGAGTTATTGTGAGAAAAAAATTTAATATGTGAGTATGTACTTACAAGTTAAAGTGAACGTCCGCCATATTTGGTCTATGCTTAATAGCCTCAACCAGTGCTTCCTTCGCTTCTTCATATCGACCTTGTGAGCTTAGAAGACTTCCTAGATTACCCAGAGCTGTCAATGGGAAAAGATGTTTACTCAGCTACATCAAATTATTTCAAATTCGTTTTTATTAATTTAAGAAAATATCTATGTATGTACATATGTAAATAACAATGTTCTCAATATGAGGCACTGCAGACTAGAGCCCATACTGACCTTTGGGTGGATTTATTTCCACGGCGCTTCTATACAAGCTCTCTTCACTGTACCAGTCGAAGTTCCGTTGAATTGTGCGCGCTCCGAGCACGCTAAGTAGAATAATTAGGCCGAATATCAGTACAACTTTCCTCTTACGCACTGCAGGCGAATGTATGCGATCCATTAATTTGCCAATGCCGTATCCAGCCATCAAGCAATAACCGACGCTAGGCAAATAAAGTAATCGCTCGGCTACTACGAAACCGACGTAAAAGAATAAGTTCGTAGCTGGAAGAAAGGGCAGTGTAAGAAAAGACAATGCCATTAACAAAATGCAGGTGTTATTAATATGTTGAGTTGTACGCGGTTTCAACATAGGCGGCGACGCTAATACGTGTCTGTGTCGCAACTGACTTTCCGCCATAATGGTAGAAGCATAGCTGCAAGTGCTGCTGCTGGAAGTGTTGCTACCGGAGCTGTTGTTGCTTGCTGTCGTGCTGCTACTGCAGCGACTGCTACTACGCGAGGAGCGTGGCGCTACTGCTGTGAGGGCTTTGCGCAGCGCCAAAGATAGAATGTGGGGTGCGTCAATGGAAGACAGGAATAACTGATGGCAACAGCAATCGCTCCCATTAAGCCAATGAGGGTTATTATTATTGTTATTATTAAGAGCACGACAAGATGGGCTATGGTGGGCAGAACTTTGCTCCTGCTTGAAGTCGTGGCAAGCACACCTCAGTTGTTCCGCTTTGTAAGCCACACAGCTCAAAACTGTTGAATCTAATAGGCTATATTGCGAATGTGCTTCTAACGCATCTTCGGCTATTATCATTCGATATTTCTTCTTGGATCGCGATTTACGTTGCTTATATTGTTGATGTTCTGCATATTTCTGTCCGTTTTCTAGATGCTTCAAGCGGAGCCGCAACAGATATCTTATGCTTTTGAAGGCAATAGTGATAAGCGTGCAGTAGAAGAAAAGGCTGATTAAATTGCGTTTATCGCGAAGAGTTATAATTCGCGGTATGGCGTCCATTCCCCAGTCAAAGCTAAGCACTTGAGGGCTGAGAAGTAAACTGAAATTGAACGCTGGTAGGTAAATAAAATTAAGGAATCGAGTCCAAATTGAAGGTATTTTTGCTATTGGATTGTCGGCTGCTGAGAAGGCGGTTTGTGGACGAGGAAGCACCAGGAGACGCCAATATACAATGCATACTAGCGATATAGCCAGTATAGAAATAGTGCGCATGCGGTGCTGTAAGGAGGTATTAAAATAAATTCGTTAAGAAGTTAGATGGCGCAATATTCTCATTAAATAAATCGGCCCGAAAACGCTTACTTTATCTTGAAAACCGCAGAGCCCACGTATTCCATCGTATACTGCGCACACCAATAGTGCGGTTATTGCTGTTTCTTTGAAGAGAAGAGCAACAAGTGACAGTGTTACTGTGAGGATTAGTGCGAACCATTGATGCATCTCCTCGCGTTCGCGCCACGCAATGTGCCGCATATATGTCAAATATGTGAGTAAATAGAAAATGCAGGCAGCTACATCTGCGCGGCCTACAATTCCAGCTACAGCTTCAGTATGTATCGGATGTGCAGCAAAAAGAGCTCCAGTCGCCAGCACTCCCCAACCTGAAGATAGGTAGTACCGCGCTAGTTTCACGACCAAACCAGTAGACAAGCAATGCATTAAGTTATTGATGAGATGAAACCCCCAAGGTGTGTAGCCACCTAAGAGGAAGTTGAAGCGAAAACTGAGCACGCACAACGGTCGATAGGAGCCATGCGAGCCGGAGTCCATCAGGGGGGTCCCCCAGTAGTCGTGCTGGAAAACACTCTGCCACGGCGTGTTACCGGACACATCTTTATTGGCTAGGATGGCACGCCTGAAAATGTAAAAAATCCAGAAACACACAAAATCAAAAATATGCAACGTGGGTTTGTTCAAGTTATTTCGTGTTTATACATGTGTGTTCGTGAATCTGCTTGCGGTTCAAGTAACGCAGTTAAACAAATGAGGTTTCGCCAAGGTGAGGGATGAAAGGAAACCATGCAGGTATCGATACCCGAAAAATATCGGATCTAAAGTATCCATACCTACTTGTATCGATACTTTTGGCTATAAAGTTATTCCGTAAGAAGTGAGTTTTATTTTTTTTAACCCTTATGTCAGCAGGAGAAAAATTATACGTACATCAACAGCAGCACACCGCGTATGCACATACATATTGTATGGGAAACAGCATTATGTCGTGGCGAAAATATGAATATTTAACACATTTGTTTTAAACTGGCTGAATTTGTATTGTTATTTTCTGAGGAAATATGTTTATTTTAAATATGTGAAGAAAGATTTGAGAAATATGTTATCTTACTGTATAAATAATGCGTTTCTTAGAACAAACTCTATGATCGTTGGTTTTGAATGTATGCAAAAAGAATTGTTTAGGTACAAAACTTGTATGATTATTGAAACAGGGGTTTTAGGTAGACGCAAATAATTCTTGTTATGTTTCTTCTTACATCCGGTAGTTCAAAACTTGAACAAACCTGAAGAACGTGTAGGCAAAAAGTACTTAAGCTCTAATATTTACTTGAATCCATGTAGAGCGAACTGGGAGACTGAAGAGAAATAATGTTTTTCTAACCAAGTGTTACGCAACGGAATAAAATTTATAAAAGTAAAAATGGCAAATGGTTAAGCTGACCAACCGTCCTCCTTTGAGGAGGATTGTCCACCTCAAACGTGATTTGTCCTCCTCAAAAACATTGTCCTCCCCTGTCCTCCTTTTGAGCAAAAATGTCCTTCTTGTCCTCCTTTTCAAGTTTTATTGCAGTGATGAAATTGTCAAAAAAAATTCATTCAGAATATTATTATGTCCTAATCTTACACAATCATTGTATTTAAAGGAGTTTACATTTTTCAACTTTCAGTTAAATGATGTAAACTTTTGAATCAACTAACCGCCTGTGAGAGTTGAACAGTGCAAACGCCTTTTAGCCTTATTTAATACGGATTTCTCACGGCACCCCAATCACGTAGTTTGCTCTCTCATTCGTAATTCGCACTCCAATTACCCTTCGAATTACGTAATTCGCCATACTAAATTTTGAGAGCGAATTACCTCGTTTGTTGGTAATTCGGATCCAATTACCTTGAGAATTACGAACAAATCGCTGCCGTCTCTAATTTTTATCGGAAATTTATCGACACCAGTTCATAAATCAATACTGACACTTTTTCTCAGTACGAAAAGTAAAATTTATACGTGTACATCACCAATTTAATACGGAAACTTACAAATTTTTAGCAATCGCTTACATTTTGCATAAATTTTGTAGCGAAGAAAAAAAAACACTAATATAGAGAACTGTGAAATCGAATTAATAATGTGCCCGTGGGAAAGGGGTAATACTATGTCCACACGAGCACTGCAATTACGTAGTTCGCTTCTGAATTACTTTGATGAATTACCCCGTTTACACGACTCATTCCTAATTCGAATTGACAATTCATTGTGTTTCCTTCATTTCCCCCTTTCTTTGTTTTGTTTTTCCTATTCTCTCTTGCTTTGACAGCTTTCAATATTTTGTATGGCGAATCACGTAATTCGAAGGGTAATTGGGGCGCCAATTATGAATTATAGAGCCAATCACGAATGGGAGAGCGAACTACGTGCCGTGAGAACTTAGTATAATTCGCGATCGTAATTGGAGGACCGAACAAAGTAATTCACGGTGCCGTAGGAAAACCGTATTACGTTTGACAACACTGAAAGACTAGCTAACGACGCGTCTGCACAGGCGAAAATTATTTCCCACCATATGTCATTTTGTTTGCGAGATATGTATAAGTTTTATCAGTGGCAATATTTGTGTATGGGGATTTTTCATCTTGATAAAAGCATTTATAAGATGGCTTAAAACAAGTATGTCCGTTGCATTGGAGCGCAAATATGCTTAAAACAATTTAGAAAATATGTTATTTCACATCCGAGTACACAACCAAAAATAACACAGGTCCTTCGGCGGATCCAGACTTTTTTGGGGATGTGTTCCGGGAAATTTGCCACTTATTCTTATTACTGTAAACGAGTTATTCTTGTATATATATATTTGGATGATCAAAATAACTAACCTGGCGAATTTATGGCCTTAAAATGACCTATATACTGAGAAGGAAATTCTCGAATTTGGAAAAATTTTTATTTCAATTTTAAAAGGTGTCAGTGGGCATTTGAAATTTTCTATGTAAAAAACATGTAAAATAATTTGGTTTCATTAAAAATGTTATAACTTTTGACCCGTTAAAAAAAGTTATGAAAAAGAGATAAACGTTTTTTCTATGCATATTTTTATAGGGCTTTAAATTATTTAAAAAATTACTCTGAAATTGGTTGTCTTAGAGACGATTAAAAGTATTAAATATGTTAATGATATTGCTGAACGAGGTATAGCATTGGTACAAAATTATAATCGAACTTTGAGGAAAGACGAAGAACGAAAGCAATTTCTTTTGCAAGTAATTCAATTGCCTTTAACTTATTTAACAAGTAATTTTTAAGCAAAGAACACAACCGACTTCAATTCTCATATAAAAATTCAGGAGTACCGTTAATTTTTTCATGATCCAATATCGGATCTAAACCAAATCAGTATGGGACTACCTTAAGCGGTAACACACAAAAATTAAATATTCCCACGAATTGAGAACCTTCTCCTTTTTTTGAAGTCGGTTAAAAATAAATAGTCAAAACTTGTTAATATGTGGCGGTCTTATAATTATGCAACGCAGTGTACCATTAACTTGTTGGACTTGTGTTTAGAGAAACTTTGAATTGTTAATTTATTCGTTATTTATGTGTTAAAATAAATTTAAAAAAAATTTTGTGTTTTAAATGTGGAGAATTTGTCCTCCTGGAATGTTAAAAAATTCTGGTCACCTTACAAATGGTGAATGGCTCACTCCACGACAACTTAGTGCACTTGATTTTGAGAAACAGCAAGGATACATTCGCCAGAAGTTAGAAGATTTAGGAGAAAAAAATAGTGACGACGAGCATTTCGTATCTGAATAGATTGTGGACGATAATGAAGATGATGTAACTCCAGCTGACTCCGATATAGAAGAAATCGAGTTGTCAAAATACGACCCGGAAGATCGTGAAAAACTTAACGATATGCAAATATGGACCAATACGTGCGGAAGAAAAATAAAGCAGTTGAGAATGCATTAGACGAACCAAGTAAAAGGTCTTAAGCCACTATATTAGATTATTGATTTTTGATTTTTTTTACCAAGAAATACGTTTAAGATAAAATTTTGGAAAATGGGCGTGGCACCGCCCACTTATGATCACATTTATGTATCTCGGTAACCGTTCTACCAATTAGTACCAAACTCGGCATGGTTATTGTGCTTGCCACATAAAAGCAAAACGTTGAAAATTATTTAAATCGGACTCAAATTACGGCCGCTTTTCATATAACGGTAAATTTCAGAAATGCTTGAAACTTCAAAATTTCGAAATTCAAGGACGCTAATTTTTTCAAAACTGATACACCCCGGCTTACCATGTAGCAGTAGCTTTCGGAAAGGTGAAAATCATATATTTAATACTTGCGGCGGGTATTTAATGTTCGGCTCCGCCCGAAATTAGTCTTTCTACTTTTTTATAATATTCTGGATGTGGCTGTCCTTACTACGTACAAAATTTACGTTGAGAATTGCCCTGCCTGAAGGCCTCTAAAATCCGACTAGGATGTTCACCAAATTAGTGAGCAATTGGCTAAACCTGCAATAGAAGTAAGAGCTAGTATAATGTAGTCGAATAACCTGAATATTCTCTACACGCAACGTTATTGAAGCAATAAATGGCGGTGCTTTGAGGATAATGGATGTTGCAGTATTTAGGTGGTAAGGAAGAACGTGACGGTGCGGGTGGAATAAAAACAAAGGGTAATTGTTCTATATCTGCCCAACAAGGAAAACGTACATATTGTGCAAAAGACCCGTGTGTGCATAACATTCTACTAATATGCCGCAATGCAATATCTAGATGTAGTTTAAAAGTTAGTAATTTCCAATTTATTCATATTTTTTTTTTATTTTGCAAGTTCTATCTTACTATATCATTATATTCTTGTATTATCCTAAGAATTTTATTCAGAATTATATTCTTGTATTATTTTAAGAATTTTATTCGGAATAAAGTTTACTTTTCAAATGTATCAACATACATATTTGCGTGCGATTTCATATACACACCCGGGTATGCAGCTGTTGATGTAAGGGGTAAAAGTCGAAAAATGGCCAGATCTCTGGGCCAGGTGGTGTAATCCTACTCAGACTTGGGAATATGACGTTTGTTGAGGATATCATTAAATTTCAAGTCAATCGGGTATCTAGTTTCCAAGATATAACAGTTTTAAAACGCAAAACATACCCGGGTATGTTGCTGTTGACATAAAGGTTAAGTGTGTAATAAGAATCATACTCTGGGAATCCTAATCTACGAATAATAAAAGTTGATAATGTAGGAACTGAAAATAAATAATACACCACTACATAGCAAGACCATATGTTTGTTGATGGATGGTATATAACACAAATTAATCTCGTTTAAGAACAAATTTATTCATAAAATATTTTAGCGAAAAAAGTTTTATATTGTGGGTTTACCCAAGAATAGATATATTGGCTTGGTTATTGTTGCCCCTGGTTTCGAAAACAATCGATAACGGGGAAAAGATGTTGTAATTATTACAGTTCGGATTTTTATGCAAATTGAATATGTAAGAATTATGTAAAATATATTAGAGAAGTATATAAAATGTACATAGTTAGATATTCTAAAAAAGATTTTTATACAACAATTTAAATAACAGAGAAGAAACAAGACCGAAGCCGTTTGCACTTGTGTCCATGTTATCAAGATTTCATAGAAAATTAAACATATT